AGCATGTAAACACACGGGTCATATGGGCTCCTCGTGTACCCTCGGCTAATCATAAAGCCGTCGAATCTCTTGTACCATCGTCGCGGCGAATGCTTCAATCCGTAAAGAGACTTCTTCAGCTTGCATACCAATTCTTCCTTTCCTACAGCTTTGAACCCCATAGGTTGTGTCATGTAGATCTCCTCTTCTAAATCTCCATGTAGAAAGTCTATTTTCACATCCATCTTGACCAAATCTAAATCCAGCTGTGCCACCAATGCCAATAAAATACGAATCGACGAATGCTTCACAGCAGGTAAAAATACCTCGTTGTAATCAACGTCCTCTAGCTGTGCATATCCCTTGGCAACCAATCTGACTTTGAATCTAATTTCCCTAATAGAAAATCCCTCTTTCTTTGCATACACCCCCTTGCATCCAATATCCTTCTTACCCTTCAGTAGATTTGTAAGTTCCCAAGTATCGTTCTTATGAAGAGACTGCATCTCCTCCTCCATTGCTTCCATCCACCTAATCGAATCAGAGCTTGACTCTGCTTCCTTGAATGTAAAAGGAACCAAGTCATCAACAACTTCTGCTGATAAAGCATAAGCAACCATGACATCATCATATCTAGCTGGCCGACGAATGTTTCTTCTTGGTCTATTAGCTACAATGGACTCTTGAACATGAACCTATTCCTGAGTCCCAACATCCACTGTATCCTCTAAATGCCCGGCTGTCATCTCATCTCCTCCCAGTGTCACCTATGTAGGAGCCTCAATGGATATAATGCTATCTGGAGTGGGTGGAGTCACATCATCCTCCACCTGCTGCGATATCTCCTGAATCTGGTCTTCCTCCACCTGCTGAGGAACTTGAGGCTTCATCATGTACGCCTCGTCAAATGTGACATTCCTGAACTATCTTCTTGTCCTGTGGATCCCATAACTTGAAGCCTTTGACTCCATCTCTAAATCCCACAAAGACTGCTTTCTTCGCTCTCGGATTCAATTTACCATCACTGACATGGTAATAAACAGGATACCCAAATATCCGAAGCGACTCATAGTCACTAGCTACCGAACCAGACCAACGCTCCAACGGAGTCTTCCCCTGTATCGTAGTGCACGGCAACCTATTCACGAGATGGCTCGCATAAACCAACGCTTCGACCCAAAAGGATCTAAGCTATCCACTCTGCGTCATTATATATCGCACCTTCTCCAGTAATGTACGGTTCAATCTCTCAGCCACCCCGTTCTGTTGCGGTGTCTCTCGAACTGTGAAGTATCGCCTAATGCCGTGATCCCAGTAAAACTGCAGAAACGGATCACTCTTATACTCTCCACCTTTATCAGAACGTAGAGTCTTTACCTTTCTACCTGTCTGCAGCTCCACTTTCTTCTTCCACTCCACAAAAATATCCAGGACCTGATGTTTATGCTTCATCGGGTATACCTAATTTCTCCTGAAATAGTCATCAATGAAAGTGACAAAATAGTTTGCCCCATCAAGTGATGTGTACTTGGAAGGGCCCCAAACATCTGTGTGAATGTAGGCCAATATACCTTGGGTATTGTGAATAGCGGTGCCGAATTTCACTCTTGTCTTCTTCCCAAGTATGCAATATTCATACTGCTCCATCTTGCAGGTCTTTGCACCCTTCAATAGCCCCTGCTTCGCTAATACCTATAGGGACTTATCACCAGTGTGTCCCAACTTCATATGCCATAAGCTGGTAGTATCTTCCTCTGTGGTAATCGAAGCTGCCAAACCCCCTGTTAATGTCTTACCCTTCAAGTAGTAAATGTTATTTTCCCTGACACCTCGCATCATCACCATGGACCCCTTTGTGACCTTTAGAGTCGTATTCTTTAAGATCACCTTATAGCTAGCTGTCTCCAAAGTTCCAAGTGAAATGATATTCTTCGTCAATTAAGGAACGAATCTCACTTCCTTCAGATCCCGAGTCACCCTGTCACACATCCGGATCCGTACTGTACCAATACTACCAATAGGGCATACGTGATCATTACCCATGAGTACGACATCCACTCTTTTCAACTCCTCAAAGCTGGAGAACCAATCCCTCCTAGGGCAAATATGGTATGTAGCACCAGAGTCTATCATCCACTCCATAGAGTCAACGTAACAAACTGACGGTAATGCAGAGCATGAATAGCCTGAAGAATCCGTATCTGAATTGTCATCACTAGCCTTGACAACATTCACTTCCGAAACTTGTACAGCATTCCCTTTATTCATCCCGGCTTTGTCTTTCAACTTTGGGCAGTCGTTCTTCTAATGTCCTTCATCTTTGCAAAAGCGACATTGATTCCTACCAATATTTCTATGGCCACCTCTTGACTTCGATCTTGAGCTATCACCTGGACAACGGTTTGGACCACGGCTCGAACTGCTAATGCATCTCCCGATACCTTCTCGGAGGGTTCTCCATTACTCTTCCTCAACTCATAATTCACTAAAGTTGAGGTCACCTTCTTGTAACTAACTGTAGTTCTTCCATTTATCATAGTGAGAACAAACATACCAAAATCATCCTCCGGCAATGAACACAATAGTAGCATCGCCTTGTCTTCATCCTCAACCATGATATCTACATTGGCCATATCCGAAATTAGCATCGTGCAGTTGTTAACATGCTCCCGAATGGAAACTCCCTTCTTTATCTTGAATTGGTAAAACCTCTTCTTCAAGTGAAGCCGATTCTCAATGCTCTTCGTCAGATACTTCTCATTGAGTGTTTCTCACATTCTCTTAGCCGACGTCTCGTTCATTACGTCATAAATAAGATCCGGTGTCAAGCTTGACTGAATAACTCCACAAGTCCTACTATTCATTTTCTTCCAAACATTGTCCTCCACATCAGCGGGTTTCTCTTGTAACTCAAGAGTCTCCTCCAAATTTTGTGCATCCAATGCGTCCATCACCTGACACCTCCACAATCCAAAATTAATCTTGCCATCGAACTTTGAAACATCAATCTTCGTGTTATTGATGCTCAGACTCTGTATCGCCTTCGAAAGAGACGATCCCGATGTGCTTGTTTCTCCCATGTTATCGGTCTAATTCTTCAAATAGGAATCCTTTAGCGAATCCTTCGAACAAGCTCCCAAATCCAACCCGGAGCTCTGATACCACTTGTTGTGCGCAGCGAAAATTTCGGTAGCACCTCCGGTGCGCAAGGTGCACAATAAGAGATTAGATCGTAAGAATTCCTGTCCCACCAAGAAAACAAGAATCTGAAGCGGATATCTCAATAAAGTGAGATATCGGCTCTTCCTCTTATCAGTTCTAGGACTGACCTATCGAGGGATCTTATAAGCTATTACAAATCACGGCAAGAACACAAATTTTACGTGGTTCGGCAAATTGCCTACGTCCACAGGGCAAGGAGGGGGAGATCTACTATTAGAGGGAGAGATACAATTGGGGTTTACAATCTCATAAATAAAACTCTCTCACAAACTCTCAGATCCCTCACGCAAATACTCTCTCAAAAGGATGCACAAAAACCTAAAAGGGACTACACAAAATCTCCTCAACATTGTTTTCTCCTTTTTATTTTTCTCCGCAGCCTCAAACTCTTGCCTGCAGGAACAAGCCGAAAAAGAAAATCACAGCAAAAAAAAAACCTTTGCG